GAGAGAGAGAGAGAGAGAGAGAGAGAGGTGTATGTCTCTCTGTGTGTATGTGTGATGTGTATCATCTGTGTGTATGTGTGTGTGATGTGTATCTGTGTGTGTGAGATATATGTATGTCTCTGTATGTGTATATGTGATATGTATTATTTGTGTGTGTGTGTGTGTGTGTGTGTGTGTGTGTGCCCATGTCCAAAATACTAACTGCTTCTATTCTCACTTTCCCCTAAATTCCTAATTTTAAGTCTTCACGTCTTGTTCATTGGCGTTATAGCCTTCTGTTCATCTCTGTCCCAAGGTTCCTGCTGCTCTCTCCTTAGCTGGTAGCTGAAGCCATGTGACACACCTTGATCCAGAAATGACTAACCGTCCTGAAAATATCAGAAACATTTCTTCTGTTTTGAAGTCTGCATCTGGTGTGGTAGAACTCCAGCATGACCCCACGGACTACACCTCCATTGTGTGCTTTATTATTATCAAAGGAATTAAAAATGCCATTTATTTTATTTATCATCACGTGTGTGTGTCTAGGATATGCCACTTCTTGAGTATGGAGTTCAGAGGAAAGTTTTCAGGAGTGGGTTCTTTCCTCCTGTGGGATCCAGGACTAAACTCATGGAAGGCTTGCACGGTGAGTGTTTTTATCCACTGTGCTATCCTGCCTTGCTGGAATGAAAGGTTTTAATTAGAGAGTATTTATCATTTATTAGTAACTAATATGGCAAGTTGGCTTTTGTGGTGACCTCATCAAATTGTTTCTCTTTGCTCCATTACCTTTGAAGTTTTGTTTAACAAAAGGAAAGAAGTTTTTCCTCTGCCAAAACCAAGCATCCTGTTTACTGTTGGGGCAGTTCTGTAGCTACTCAAGTTACCCAAACCAGTCTTATTCTGAATCAGAAGGCTCCATCTCTGTCCAGGCTCTAATTTTTACTCAAAGTGAAGGCTCCTGCCCTTTCCGCATGGAGTCTAGAGGTTCACCTGCTGTAGGAAAGGGGTAAGGTAGGGCCCTCGCTATTTTCCTCTCCCAGCTTGCTAACTCCAACTCCATGGGTTGAAGGACAAGGATGAAGAAAAGCAGAGAGAAAAAGAAGTTTTTCTGTAACACTATCTTCTGGCTTTCAGCTCTTGGGGACAGACAGTTTGAGAGGGCTGTGCTTTCGTAGAATAGATGCAAAGATTGATCCCTGAGGACATAGCTCATGGTTCTTGATGCTTGC